GTACATTGCCAGCGCACACCTGCTCCTCCCCCCTCCACCCCACCCCACCCCGTTGTCTACCATGCTTTTTTTTAAATTTTTCCTTCTTTTTCGTATGGGGCTGTTCTTCTCCGTTCCTATAGCATACCAAAAAGCTGCATATGCTCTTTTTTTTTGTTTGTTTTCCTTTTGTAAAACAAGCGGATGCCTGTGGCAGCTACATCGCCGGCGCACACCTGCTCCTACCCCCCCTTCACCCCACCCCACCCCGTTCTCCACCACCTCCTGTCCGTCCTGCTCCCTGCGTGATGGCACATGAGTTGGATGGCACCATTAGACCGGGCGGCACCACGTGGGACAGGCGGCGGTATGTGGAGTGAACAGCACTAACAAATACACACCCTCACGGACCTCACCAGAAGGCACAAAAGGAACACAAACACGGGCACAAAGGGGAAGGAGGGAAAAAAAACATGGCTAGGTAATACCATGCGGGGTGTGGGTCATTCAGACCACGGCAACCGGGCCAGGTCATACATACTATGCGTACTCCTGTCACGTTTTGAGTGTGTACTTGTATATGTTTCAATGACATATACATGTACTTAATATATGTGTGCTCTTGTACGTGCGTACTCGTACTTCCTCTCAAGTCTGACGTGTTCTTCCACATGCATCCTGAAGCATACTGTGGACTGGGTGGCACGAAGTGGGCAGGGCGGAATTACATGGCCTAGGTGATAGTACATGACTTGGGTGGCACTATGTGGACCGGTTGGTGTCATGGTGCCTGGGCGGTATTATGTGGGCCACGTAATGCGGCAGGCCCGCGTGGTATCACCTGGAGGGGTCATAGCGTCGGATGTGGATTCAATGAAATCATGCGCATTGCGCACTGCCGATGCAGTGTGGGGCAGGGGGGCAACGCTGCATGGGTTGGTGGTAAAACCGCCCCCACCCCGCCCAAATATGTCATGCGTGTACTCCATACTTGTATTCGAACATGCGGCGGGGTCTCATCGCGTGGCCAATGATTTTCAACTTTCAAGTGATTCCCCTGGGGTTGTGAGGGGTCCAACGATTCGGGGCCTGCTACTACGTACTTGTGAACGAACATGTGGCTGAGCTGTGGATGTGGATGTGGATGTGGTTGCAGCCAGATGCGGCGAGGTCTGGCCGGAAGTGCACTGAAAACAAAGACAAGCGCCGCACTTTTAAGTCTGAGATGTGAACGTGATTGCAGCCTCAGAGACGCATCCAGGTCTGGTCCTAAGTGCACCGGAAAAGAACCCCCCTTCCAACAACTGGCAGCAACACTCTTCTGGGATTCGCTGTGGACGTGATTGCAGCCTGATGCAACCAGATCTGACCGTTGCTGCACTGGAAAAAGTGTGTTTGAACTCTGAACATCTGGCAGCACCTACATCCAGGCCTGCCCATAATTTCACTAGCCCCAAGAGAACAAGGAAAACAAAAACTTCGAACACACTTTTGACATTTGCAGCAGTGGACGTGATTGCATGTTGCATGTGCACCACCAGATGTGGCCGTTATCACACTCCGTGCTCGCGTCAGCACTACGCCCTAAGCCCACCAGAGGGGATGTGACCAAAAATTCCGAAAATAGTAAAAAGGTTCACGTGGGATGCGCTGCTGCTGTGTACTTGTATTCGCACACGACCAATGCGCTGCTGCTGTGTACTTGTATTCGCACACGACCAGCAGCCTGAGGGGGGAAGAGAGACCAAAACAGTGTGCAAGGAATCGAACCTCTGATGGCTGGGGCTCCGTGTTGTGCAACCGCTGCAGCGCCCTGGGGCCAAGAGGGAAAGACCGTCTCCCATAACTGTTATAAAGGAGGGGGGGGGAGTAGAAAATGCTGCATATTATTCTGACATTGCTTCATTCCTTTTTAGGATATTAAACTGATTAAAGGAAGTCTGGATTCCTCCTCCTGTCCAACCGTTCTTCTTTGACGTCACAAAAAATGTTTCATGCAAGCAGTTCCGATATCAAATTGTCTTTCCTTCTCTCCCACTTTTTCTCGGCTACCAAGTTTTAGGTGGTTTCAGTGGACATCACCATGTTCCTCGCTTTCTCATCTCCTTCGAGGAGCGAGGAGGAGTTTTGGAGATATCTGTGATCGACGCGACGATTGAGCTTTTCGTCATCTGATCGATTGTCTAGTTACCTGTCCAGCTGGATCAGCGGTATCTGCCTGTAAATTATCCTTGTTTGTTTTCAACTTTTTCAAACCATTTCTTTTTCTCAGTTGGGCCACAAAGCACACCATGTATTGATGATGCAATAGGAACACACAACGCACCATTGTCGTTCGGCATCACTTGTTGTTCAGGCATAAACTTCGCCATGCGGTATTTCTGAATGACATCCACAACCACCACAACAACAATAGTAATAATAAGTACAAGGAAACAGTGAAAAACAACCAAAAAAAAAAAGACAACACAGTGTGCTATTACCTAAGCAGCGCATATCACCTAACAAGCATAACCGAGCTTCTTCCCGTTCAGCCGCCTGACACTACTCTGGTAGAAGGACAGGGGGGCTGAGGGGGCCAAAGGGGAAGCTCTCAACGCCGCCGTGTCCCTCTGTCATTTAAGCGCAAGTAGGAAATAGGCGATATATGGATGGATGGTCAGACCGCCGGCAAATTAAAAAGGGCTGTGGGTAAGCGATACCCGATACTCCCTCTCCTTGTCATCTTTCACGGAGGTTAGGTGCTTCTATACGGATGGATCTTTCCTTAGGAATGAGGAAGATCGGGGCTGTGAGCGGGTCACCCCTGGCATACTGATGTGGACATCTTTTGGGGTGTTGAGGAGAGAAGGCCATTCACCGCAACTACTATGCTTTGACGCTTGCGCATCGTTCTACGATGTCCTTAACCCACTTGGGAAAGGAAGAAACAGATAGCAACTCTTACATGAACTGCTGTCACCCCAACCAGCCTGTGGTCATAAGCTTTTTCAAAGTCGCAGACAAGAATTGCTGCTGCGGTCATCTTTCGCTCAAGATTTTTTCTTTTGCTGGATTTGCACAGCGTCATTACGGTGGTCGAGGATAAATTGGTCGGATCGGAGTGGAAGCATTTGACAGTGATGTTCCTCACTCTTGCCAACGTACCGTACAGGGGTCTATAGACTCGATGCAGTTATGCTTTTCGGGGGGAAACAGAGAGAAGCTAGACAGAAGCTTCGTTTGTTTGCCAGTGTACCATCATCCTATGGATTAACAAACACATAAGAGAATGTGGCCACGATGCACCACCACTGTAGCAACTGACCACATACAGAAGCATACCAATAGCCGACAGCAGAACATGAAAAGGGGTGCAGCCATTACTTGCAACCGCACCGTGCGCCGTACCATCCTGTGCGCCGCACGGCGTGTGCAGTTTCCCTTCTTTTTTTCTTTTTTTTTTGCCGTCTTTGTAGATACAGAAGAGTGCAACACCTAACCAAAAAAAGAACAGTCGTACAGATTTTTCTTTCCATCCAATTGGGCATCAGAAATAGCCTCAAAAAGGTGTCTGGGACATCAGTCTTGACCTTTAGGTAGCGGCATTACCCTCCCACTAGGTCCCCCCCCCCCCCCCCCAACAATTCCAAACGAATCTTCGAAGGTTTTTTTTTTTTTGAGAGAATATTTCCCCCGTGCGGGTCCGCTCGTGCGACAAACGTGAGGAATTTTCCGCACGGCATCCGCTTGCATATGTATGTATGCAACCATATTCCGGGACACGCAACAAGTCACTACCGTCTTCACGCAAATAGAACACCCAGTCATCATAGGCTTTATCTAGCCGTATTCAGTGCAACTTTCAGTCTAGGTACAGCGATAATGACCGGGTGTTGTATTCGGGTGAAGGCAGTAGCCTACGTGGCCTATGGGATTGCGAAAAAAGCAGAGCAGGGGTTCACATTCCCACCAAATAACAAAAAACAGGTCCAGAGTGTGGGTGGGTCATGACTGAATCAGAAACTTGCCTGCAGATGGCTCTTCACATGGAAGATGGTCAGACCTTGCACGTTCATCACCTTCAGGACCCCCTTAGGTGTGGCCTCTATATAGCAGACAAAAACGAAATTACACCCAAGAACACCCACGTAAGGCCTGAGGAGATATCCAAACACAAACACAAACACAGTTACTACTAGTGACTACGGATTTTCTTATGCCAACTTCCTTGGGAATGTGTCACCACCAAAAAATAACGACGCTGGCTCCTGTGGATAATATGGCTTCAAAAAAGCTTTCAAACAGTTTCATGGGCTCATGGGTCCCCTAAGGAGGGAGGGAGCAACAAAGGATTTAGCAAAGGTTCAAACACTTTCGCGGGCTCATGGGTCCCCTTGAACCACCAGTACCTTTCCCATATGTCGGCCACGGTCACTGCGCGCCGGCCCAAAAATCGAGAGAGGCCGCCGATTCAATTTATCAGCGGCCGCCCTTCCGTTTCAGGCCAGCAAGTTACCCAGCGCATCTCTGAAAAAATAGCTGGGAAAGGTACTGGTGGCTTAAGGAAGGAAGGAACAACAAAGGAAATTTTATGTGCAAAACATAAGACACTGGCTCCTGTGAAAATATGGCTTCAAAATCTTCACACAGTTTCATGGGCTCACGTGTTCCCGTTAAGGAAGGAAGAAACGGAGGATAAACAAAGGATTTTTTTCTGTGCAAAACAAGGTAGTACAAATTCCATAGAACCAAACAATAAACCACATGAGCTGACAGAGACCGCCAGTTCAACAGATGATTGCCGACTGCTACCAGCACTCACTCCCATTTCCAAATCAATGCGGCAGAGGCTCGCCAACACTTCCTTCGTTCGTGCCTCTGCCAATCCTCAGAAGCAAGGATATGATATGATATTATACGCGCGTTTCTTAGGAGGACGACATCCGTTATGTGGAATTGGAGTTGCATCGCTAATATTGGTTATAGGCCGAAGGCTTTCCATAACCTAAACATTTGATACCAAACCTTTGATTCTCACTTCAACTGACTTACGCACGTGCGCGCGCACACACACACACACACACTTTAAAGGGACTGCTGGGCTTATAGGGGTTTGCAGCAGACTGCCGGCAGTTAGTGTCAGGCGTTCGAAATAGACAGTTTGCTAAGCATGCATGGCGAGCTTGCAGCCACAATTGTCAGCGGTTGTGGCATGCTGGGGCCTCCAACACCAGGCCTCAGGGAGGCCTCGACAACCTCTTGGGCTGGAGCCCACTTTGCCACCTGGCCCATTTTTTAGGCCCACAACCCGCCAAAAGGGCCTCCGCCTGCACGAGTGCCTACCGTAGCGAGTTTCAGGGAGGCGTCTGGATATTTTGTCTGTTCATTCTATTTATTTATTTGAATTTTGAAGTTATTTCATTTTATTTTATTTTCGTTTGCTGGCAAATTGCTGCATATTTAGTTGGTGTCAGTTCAGTTCTGTGCTCTGCCAGTTCATGATGTCCTGGTCCGGATCGTGTCATTTCACTGTTTTGTCCAAACAGGGACAGGTTTGTCCTGTTAGGACCTTTAGCGGATACATTCCACATTTGAGCTCAGCTTGTCTGTTTGTTGCTCTGGGCTGCGTTCATCTGTAGTGTCCAGACCAGCTTTTGGTGCCGGCCCTGCTAGTGAGGCTGTGATGAAGGGGCTGGACTTTGGTAGGGGCCAAGGAGTAGGTAGAGTAGAGTAGCACTGAGGAGAGGTGGGAGGAGGAGAGGTAGAGTGAGTTCAATTACAACTTCATTGACCATTCGCGTACATCATCGCGGCAGCGGTTGACTCATTATCGGTAGCAGGTAGTGAACATGAAAGTCCTTGTCGAACAAGGCCCGTGACGTTCGCAAGCTCAATACGCTGGCATGCAACGAACGTCTGCGGCAGCGCGCACAGAAATATGCGGAGAAGGCCAAAATTACCCAGCGTTTTGTGGCAGCGGCCCAGTCTTCTGAGCCTGGGGGTCTCCTTCCTGTATTTACTATGGAGTAAATCAAACCAAGGGTAGCGTTGCCGAAATGCGCGTGGAAAAGCACTTGGTCAAACCGGGCAACAGGAGGCTCGCACCTCCGAGGCCGGCTCGGGAGATATCGAGCCGTAGTCCCTCAGACTATGCGGCAGCACCATACGGAAGCATATTTCCACCCAAAGCAGAGGGCAAGATCCACATCCGCAGCTTTATTTGGGATCGGACCGAAGAATCCAGGCCCTTGGGCTCAACAAGCATGTGTAAGAAACAGGTATAGGGGCAACTGTATGTGGTGTAACAGCAGCAACCTGCACACCACGTCGACCTATCGTGGCAATGCTAGAGCTTCAACAGTCGTCCTGTTGGGGGATGAAGACCACAATAAGTGTACAATACGACTCAGGCCCGCCAGGGGAGCCGCAAAGCAGTAGTAGTTCAAAATGCCACGGGGTTTTGCATTGTAAATGCAAGTATATACATGTGGCCCATCGGGATCACAATTCTTATTGCCATAGGAAGGATATAACCTTTGTAAGCGTGTCTTACACATCCATACCTCTTCTTAAGTCGCTCTACAAGCTCCCTGATCGGGGCTCGCGCGAAAACGTACGCCCAAATGGAAAAGTTACAATGGAAGTGCGGAGAATGGGCCTCGCTCCACTACAGTAACTCTCGACACATACAAAAGACAACAATCATGGCGATGTATCTTTCCACGTTCTAGCGGAAGATGTCACTCTCCTTCTGCACATTTCAAGAGTAGTGGAGCGAGACAACGAGTCTTGGGTGTATCCTTCTTCGGTATATTTTTTATGTGCGAGAGACATGATTTTGTGCCTTCCATTTCACGGCATGACTTCGGGTACTTAGGAGAGACATCCCATTACGACTTTTTGTGCTTCGCACCTGCTGATTAAGCTCCAGTTTAAGCTCTTCGTAGGAGGGAAGCAATTGAAGTCCCAACATCCTCAGAATGCAGAGGGGATGATGCGACTGCATCCCTCACTCCACCGGACACCGCTGGACAACTGGCAGTTGCCCTTGTGTGCATGGAATTTGCAGATAGCGCCAGAGTCGACGTTCACAATAAGGTATATTTGCATTTTGAGTGGGTTTCCATGCCTTTCGGCCTCACGATTGCCCTGGCGACGTTCCAGGCTATGATGACACACGAGTTTCGGACCACGGTAGATCACTTCATTCTCGTCTATCTCGAGGATATTTTGGTATACAGTTGGACGGTCGTTGGAACTTGGAAGAGCAGTTGGAGCACCTACGCATATTGTTGGGTAGTGATAAGTGAGTTCGCCGCCAAGTAGGCGATGACCTAATTAGGTCCTTTTGTTACTACTCAGGGCATTTGTTCTCTGACGCACGGCTCGTTCCATTCAGGATTGGCCTGAGCCTGCCAACAGTACAGTTACGCATCATTTCCTTGATGGATTACCATCAACGGTTCATCCAAACTCCGTCAAGATTGCTGCGTCCTTGACTCAGCTTCAACCGAAGGACCAACCCTTCGAGTTTGGCAAGGACGCCCGGGCAGTTTTGCAGGCTCTCAAGGCAGCTACGTTGGAGCCCTAGTTTTGCGCATCTTGGACTCTACCTTGCCCTATGCAGGTCACCGTGGATGCATCCGGCTACGGTGTGGATGCGACACTCAAGCAGCACAATGATGAAACCTTCCACCTGATAAGTATTTAAGAAAGAACATTACCTCCGTGTTCCCAATCGATGATGCAACGAAGGAGCTTTTGGCATTCATCACAGGTCTGGAGCTCAGACTGCACTTCCTCCTCAGGTGTCAGACAACACTTCCTCCTGAGCTGTAAGAAGCTCATGTGAGCCAGCGACAGGTCCGACACCAACCTACTCGACTCCTCAAGATGCAGAATATGATCAGCACCTCGATTGCACCCTGAATGACCTATACATCGATCAGGTTCAACTTTGATATCCAGTGCACACCCGGCAAGTCGAACCGGCTCATTCGAGGATACCAATCCAACCCCGAGTTCACGAGATTCATAAACAGTATTCGTCACCCAATCCTCCAGCATCGCATTTCCACATCCAGGATGGGTTCCTCCTACACTCGCGAGGTCAAGACTTGCTTCAGGTTCCCCATGATTGGCATTCACATGCTACCTTGATTGGCAAGTACAATAACGCTCGCCTTGCAGGACACCCTGGCATTAAGCGCATTACGACTTGTCCCTGCAAGCGATTTTATTGGCCAGGTATAGTAACTGATATCACACAGTTCTGCCGTACTTGCAACGAGTGCCAGTAATGCACACATCCCACAAGGTTACAATCAGCCTCCATATGGGAAGCTGGTGCCACATCCAATTCCAACTCAGCCCCACATTTAAATCACTATGAATGAGACTACCGGTAGGCCGTTTCTGTGTAGTCAGTTTTTGGTCATGACACATGATGACAGGATTTTCACTGTGGTAACAGTGTGGTTGACTGTTTGACCAACCAACCATGCACGGCTCTTGCCGTGCAAGTACCACACCACCACCAGAGAGCTCCCCGCCGTCCTTCATCAGGGTTGGGATCCCTCTAAAGGGATTACCTAATAAAGACGTTATGAGCGACCAGCGACATTCGGTTCATGTCCAACTTCGACTGCAATCCTGGAGGTGGTGAGACAAAGCAACCTCATCAGACCGTACAAGTTAGCGAGCGAGATTGGGAGGAAAGCTTGGTTCATGTCACATTTTCCTTCAACATCAGCATGTCGCCTGTTGAATTGGAGCATAGCGTGCCAACACAATTCCCTATGGATTCCCTCATTCCTTCCTTGTTAGGCTCAATCTTCCCTAATGATCATTGCCCTTTCACAACAAGTTGAACCACTTGAGTCTGAAAGCCTAGGATAAGATGTGACTCGCGCGCAGATTCACATGCAAGGGCAGGCAAATCACCATCGATTATTTCATGAAGGTGAGCTTGTCAGCATTCTGGAGGAGGAGTTCAGCTTGGGTGGAACAGGATCTTTACCAAAAACCCTTCCCAAATGGTTGGGCCACTCCGTATTTTGGCTCCTTCCAGGGATCAGCCCAATGACCCTTCATCTGTCACTGATGCTCCCCTGCATCTCCATGTTCGCCCCGTGTTTCAAGCCTTGAAGCTGGCCCGGTATCTTAATGCTGAGAGTGCTTTCTTCCCGGGATGCCATTCATAGAGGCTGCAGTCTATGATGGATTTCAGAAGGTCCTGGAGACTGTTGCTTACCGCCTCAACGGGAAGAAGCCTGGGCAATACAAGGTGTGTTTTGTTTGCAATCTGTGAACTGTGCTCCCTGGCTTTGTGCGCAGCTCGAGACCACAATGCCAAACATCTTAGCAAGATACAAGCATCAATGCCATGCAGAGGCCGCCATCTGGAAGGTCCAGTCCGCACACTCAATCAAACGCTGGGTGCCCCTTTCAGTTTGTCAGCTCAGCCCTCCGAGGGGGGTCAGGTGGCCCCCCCACACCGGGCCTGGGAGACCCCGACATCCATTTGGGTAGGCCCGTGAGCTGACTGGCCCCTTTTTAGGCCCACAAGCGGGAGGGAGAACCTCGACCAGCACGAGGGCCTATGTGAGCGTGATATGAGTGAGCTTCCAGCAGACAGGTGGGTATTTTGTCTGTTCTAAGTTTGTTTGTTTTACCTTATTATTATTATTATTATTATTTTGTTTGCTGCATATATCAGATCGTTTATGTCCTGTCCCAGTTTCTCTTGTCCTGGTCCAGATTGTGTCCTTCGATCGTTCTGTTCGAAGAGGCACAGGTTTGTCGTGTTCGTGGCCCGGCTTGTCTGTTTGTGACTGGGCCTGGGTTCATGGTAGTGCCCAAGCCACCTTATGGTCCAGGCTATGTTGCTGAGGCAGCAGGGTAGGACCTGGACATCGTTAGGGACTCGGGCCACGCCTGTTTCCAACTGGGCGAGTAGGCAGGACAACCATCTTCCATCTGGGCCATCGAATTTCAGTTCAGTCGATGGCCCTATAGGAGCGAGGCCGGGTTGTATTTACGGAACACAGAAACACAACCTAAGTTGTTTCACGGCGCTGTGCTGAGCACTTACTTACTGGATCGGCCATAGCCACCTACTCGACCACCTGCTGGTCCGGTACAGGTGGGTCGAACGACAGCTGGTCACACCCTTCCTTGGCAGCCGTACTCTCGAGAAGTTGGGCCATCGGATTCGCTAAATAAAACTCTGCAGAGTTTTTGGCTCAACTTGCAGCCGTCCTTTCGCGGAGTTGTGTTTAGCACATACACAAACACAACCTAAGATGCAAACCATACGGCGTGCGGGGAAAGATCGGTTCCTGCTGAATAGATGTGTCATGTGAGGGTGCTGAGGTAGTCCCACCCGATTCGAACTATATACCCACCTATACAGGTCCTGGAAGATGAGACTTGCTGGGATAGACTACAGCATCCAGGAGAAGATGTGGTCCACTGCAAAACTGTGGGAACTGTGGGGAGTGAAAGTGCCCAGGACACAAGTTTGTGTAGCGAGAGCATTCGAAGCATATTGAGGACTTCAATGTGCAAGTTGCAGCATGGTTCTGAGTGACTTACTCTCAGCCCCTCCAAGCTCATCCACGGCATCCACGAACCGATCGTGAAGCTCCGGAGTCCATCTCAGCCGTTGTTTTCCATTAGCCACACCAGCACCTGGTGATAAAGGCCCTGCTGGCATCCCAGGAATTAAGGACCGTCCGCCGCCAGGAACCCTATGTCTTTCACCTCCCGTCTTGTCTCTTGTCACCGTCGCCCCGTCAACTCCTGACATGGCCTTCTCGGACTCTTGGAATACCTGGGTTCCATGAAGAGCCGAAGACAAGATTACGAAAAAAACAACGCGACTGCAGAAAATCAGGGAATATCAACGCGAACTGAAACAGAGACTCAGTTGGTACACCCCTACAGACCCAAGTTCGAACTCCAATGAAACAGAAACCCTGCTGACGAGCCCTCTTGTTACACTCTGGTGCAGCAGATTGCAGGTGAGGGTAGCAAAGCGGGGCGGGTGAGGGGGGAAGGCGGCGAATCAATCTGGTTCATTTCTCATTGGAAAATTGGAAATTGAAAAACAAAATGGCAATGGTATGACACATTGAACACACCCACTCCGTATGCCGCTTCCTGTTACCGACAGGAGATCCAGAGGTTTACAGTAAAACCCGGTCCTGGGGACTGACTGGGGAGTACAATTTCAACTTTCAAGACCTTCCTAAACCCAGGACAAGAAACTCAATTTCAAGAACCTCCCCTCAGAACCCCTCCTATCATCCAGGGACCAACAACCCGGTTCCCGATGTCCACTAGCAAAGCGAAAGGCATGGGTGGGTTTTCAGAAATATATCGCACAATCTAAACCGTTCCCCTTCGATCAGCAAGAGTTCGCATGACACGCTACGTAAACCGAATCCCCTTTTTTATGAGCAAGGGTTCAAAACTTCCGAATCCCATTCACTACCCCATTTCGCGGCATGACCACTTTACTTCGGTCACACCCAAAAAGAGAGCACAAAGTGGGTGGGGGGGGGGAGAGGAATTTGGTTACCTCTGCTTGGGGTGCATGACTCTGAGATGTGCAGCTGGAATGGGAAGGCATGTCTTCTATTTTTTTCGTTTCAGCGATTCTGCCTTTCCCACATGCCGTTTTACGTATTCTGACGATAACTACGTATTGTTCACATATGATCATTCTAAGACTGTCCTGTGCTAGAGGTTGTGCGATGATGATGATGATACATTGTCCCTCTTACACCTCAGCAGGCTGACCTACCCTAAAAGCTGTGTTCTGCAACTGTGGATTGAGCAGCCTGATTGCCGTAGTACAGTACTTCAGAGGTGTGACACTTGTTTTTTGCAGAACCAAAGGAATCAATATGGTCGAGACCTGCCGCTATACGATGTTGCGGCCACCGCTGACTCAAGACTCTGGATTAGCGCTCCATAATCTGTCATGCCGTCCACTTACTGTAACTACAGTGCACAACGTGATTCTGAACAGGGCAAACTGACCTGCCATCATCAATGTCGAGTCGGGGCGAAGGAGTTTTCTAGACTTGAGAGATTCTGTTGGTGAGAAACAGAACAGCGTTGTGCTTTTCACAGGCAAGGGCCCAAATTCGACATTCTTTTCTTAACTCGAGGACTAGTTTTTGAGTTGAAGTCTAGCTTGAGATTCTGTTGCAGAAAATCCAAGCTGGAAATGAGACTACAGTGCAAAAACTGCTCCCCAAAAATGAAGAAAAGACTCGACAATCAAGATTCGTTACCTTGTTCATCAACGTACGTTGGATCAGAGTAACCCTAAAAGACTTTTCCTCTCACACTACAACTACAACAGGCACTAAGGGCCTCACTCCACTACTCTCGACATGCACAAAAGACAAAATCATGGGCAGTGTATCTTTCCATGTTCTAGCAGAAGATTCAATCTCGTTTTGCACATTTTGAGAGTCGTGCAGCGAGGCCCTAAGTCTTTTTGCTTTCAAGCTACAACAATGCATGTACAGTTAGCTTATTAGAGCAAACCACTAGAAAAGATTGCTAACCTGTACACAGCTGGGGGTAGAATACTAGAATCCCATGCGCTCATGGCTCTTTAGAATCACCTGAACCAAGCAAGCAAAGGAGTCACAGCTTGTTCATGAAGAGGAATTACACATCAAATCGGGAGGAGCATGCAGCTCCTTCCATCCATGCATTCTACCCTACCCCCCTGCCACAGTAGGTGTCGGGCCAGCTGAAATGCCCGTACCCACCCTCGTCGGGGCACAAATCACTTTTTATAATCACGACAATTACCAATCGGAGACATGGTAGATGCCATCGGTCTAGCGAACAAGCCATCTTCAAGGCAAACCAGGTGATCGATCGGCCGCGACCCTATTAGGCAAGGTCGGTCTAGCGGAGTGCCATCTTCGGCGACAGGCAATCTTCGAGGTAAACAAAGACCAACCAGTCATATAACCAAGCACGCCTAGCAAAACACGGCGGGTGCCCAAAAAACAGGTAATCAACTACTAACAAGTGATAACACGCACAGAGAAAAGGTCGACAGTCCACCATCAAGAACCATTGATATTTGATAGGCAATCCGCCGTCAGATAACCGTGGATAGGCAATCAGCGGAAAAAAAGACCGGCAACCATGGTTAGATGTAAGGCCACCATGGACCGGCAAACTACAGTCTTCCTCCGAATACAACGCACGGTCATTATAGCTGAATTTAGACTGAAAGATGCCCCAAATTCAGCTATAATGACCGGGCATTCTATTCGGGTGAAGACGGTAGCGATACACAACCAGCAGTCACACATGAACGACCATGATCACCGGTAACGTAGGCAATCACGGTTAGCAAGCCAGCAGTGTCATGTAGGCAACCATGGTTAGGCAAACTAGAGATAAGCAAGCAAGCAGGCAGACATAGCGACAAGCACGATCACCGCTAGCGTAGGCAGCCACGGTTATAGCCCTGTCTCTTATACACATCTAGATGTGTATAAGAGACAGCACATGAACGACCATGATCACCGGTAACGTAGGCAATCACGGTTAGCAAGCCAGCAGTGTCATGTAGGCAACCATGGTTAGGCAAACTAGAGATAAGCAAGCAAGCAGGCAGACATAGCGACAAGCACGATCACCGCTAGCGTAGGCAGCCACGGTTATAGCCAATCAGCAGCCATGGCAAACTACCGTCTTCACCCGAATAGAACGCCCGGTAATTACAGCTCCATCTGGACTGAAAGTTGGGCCAAATGCAGCCATAATGACCGGGCGTTCTATTCGGGTGGAAGACGGTAATGATAAGCAACAAGCAGTTATGTAGGAAACCATGGTTATAGCCAATCAGCAGTCATGTGGGCAAAACCATGATGGATAGGCAGCAGCACCAACCGTTCAGAAAACGTGGACTGTCACAGAAGTGTGTGTCGACACAGGGTATGGCCCCAGGTGTTCCTCCAGTCTCACAATGCATGCCTCCATGTTCCATGGCTCCCCCCCCCCCTGGCCCCCCCCCGCCCCCCCAGCTCCCTTCCTCTCTTCTTCAGTGAAGGGGGACATCCCTCTTTTCATTTTGATTCGTGTCACCTCTGTGCAAACAACACCCCTCTTCCCTTCTCTAATGCAGTCCGATGCCAGTGGCCTTTCTCATCACCTCTCTCAATGTGGGTGGGTCCTGCCTGCCCTCTCCAGCCTGCCTCCATGCCTGCCACATCAGAACGTTGCGCCGTTCATTCATGTGAGCAACTGTACACAAGCAAGCATACAGAATACCATCCACTCGCTGCTGCTTGCTAATCCCTCCTATGCACGAATGAGCCAAAATTGCGTAAAAAGCATGCATTCCGTGCGCAAACTACACGTCAGTCAGTCTGTCACATATGCTGCTGCTTTCACTGCTATCCTGCCTGCTACATTCACATCATACTCCCCCCCCACCCTCCCAGCACTGCTGTCCCGTCATCATTATACTTGTTTGGTCTTTACTCGTTTGACCTTGCCCCCGTTCAACGTGCACGTTTTGTTACGTCAAGTCAGCGGCTAATTGTTGATGTCGTCCAGATTCCTTGACGTTCTGCAACACACTTCAGTTCACTCCTCTTCCTTCCTCCGCATTTTGTATCGAAGATGGAATAATGGCGAGAAGAGAAAAACAGGGTGCGAATTCAACGTTCACAGGTTGCGGGGGACGCATGGTTGCAACGTGCAAGCCTGAAACTTGCAAAATGAAGCATTAAAAAAAAAAAAAAA